GGGTGCGTAACTTGGGGACTTGGTGTGTCTGTGTCGGATGGGGCCGGCCATGGCCATCGTCCCGCTGCGGGGTAGTGTTGGTGCGCTGTGCCCCTACGCGTGTGCGACACTGAGTTCAAGTGAGCGGCTGGGTGTGTGTGTGGACATCCACGTATGTGTAAATGGATGTGCTCTGCATGTGTGAGTCTGCGTGAAACATGTGCGTGATTATGTGGGGGTGTTGTTTGTCTGCCCAAGTGTGAGTGTAAGCCAGCATGTGTGCATAAATTGTGTGCTGTGTGTGTCAGTGTCTAGTTGAGTGTGTGTCTCCAAACATCTGTCTCAGATGTGTCTGAGTGTAACTGTAAATGCCTGTATGTAAGTGGATCTGGGTGTGTGTCAGGTTTGTGGGACTTGGTGACTTTGTCCCTGGTCTGGTTGTGTGGATGAGTGTACATGTCTGTGTGTGTAAGCCCGGTGTGTGTGTGTGTGTGTGTGTGTGTGTCTGTGTTTGTCTCTAGGTTGTCTGTGTATTTCTGTGTGTGCACATAGGGCTGGGGAGTGTGTAGTTGTGTCTCTGGGGTGTGTGTACTGAGTGTGTGTGGGGGGGTCCTTTGTGGGTCTCTGGTGTCCAATTGTTGGTCTGCAGCTGCGCAGGTGGGGCTGCCCCTGAGTGTGTGTCGCTGCCAGTGTGCATTTGTGTGTCTGGGTGTGAGAGTGGCACCGCCCACTTCCCCCGAGTTGGTCATCGAGGCCACTCTGTCTCAGAGTGTCTCAAGCCCATCCGGCTCCAGGTCTTTAATTAGCGGCTGGTTAGGGGGACCCACTGGGCTATGGGTAGGGTGGGGTGGGCGGCCAGCCTTTGTCTGCTGGCCTCACGGGGTCTGCCTGGCCAAATGCGCAGCGCCCGGAGGCAGCTGGCAGCCTGGGCTGGCGAGGCCTCTGCCTGGGCAGCTGAGGTCTTGGCCTCCACAGGGAGGCCCGGCAGCCCTGTCCTGCTAGCTGGCCCAGGAGGTCTGGGTGTGGAGCCACGGGCCCCTCCAGGATCCCGGGGAGGGGATGGAGCCTCTGTTTCCGGGCCTTTTCCGCGGCATTTCCTCCTCCAGCTGCTGGCAGCCTCCCCCAGACTGCCTGCCTCCCTCCTGCCTTTGGGAGGAGGGGCTGGGGGTTTGGCCTGGCCTGGGTACACACACACACATACAGCCACACACAGCCACCCAGGCACACACAGCCTTACACAGGGTCACATGGGCACACACCGCACACAGTCACAGAACAGTTCCACCCATACACAGTCACGCTCTTGCAGCCACACACACACCACAGAAATCCCCTGCTGACATCTGTTGTCCCAGCCAGGCCCCAGCCCTGGAATCCCCTATCCCCCCCAGGCCCACTGACTCTCTAGTGGCCTCACCAACGCCCGGGGCAGGTCACACTTCCCAACCACCCCACAGACTGGGCCACTGTCCCAGGTGTTCTCCCCTGCCTTCCCCTACAGACACCTGTGTGCCCTCCCCCTCCAGGCCCCTATCTCCCCATCCCCACTCCCACTTCCTCCACCCACTTATGCTGGATCCTTCAGCACTGTCCCCCACATCCCACCTGAACTAGAAGCGCAAAGAGGGTGTGAAGTTGTTGGGAGGAGGGGTTCAGCCTCAGAACAGGGATGAGGATTTGAGGCTGGAGCAGGAAGAGAGGCAAAAAGACAGAGCGGCCAGGATCAGAGCCACAGAGCCACTTAGGGAAGAAGACTCCTCGCCATGGGGAAAGGAGGAGGGACAGGAGTGGGGGAGGGTTCCAGCCTCACTTGCAATGAAAATGCTGCCACCTTAGCCTGGGGGAAGGGCCTACGCCAGCGGGGACCAGGGAAGTCCACCAGGAAGGGCTTTGATCCCAGAGCTGGTCCTCTCAGGATGGAATAGGGGAGAGGAGGCAATAGGAAGTGAGGGAGGGGCTGGCAAAAGAGGAGAGGAGAGAGATTAGAGGGGTGGTGTGCTTCGGAAAAAGGAAGGATGAAATCCAAGAGGAGGTTCTCCAGGGCCAGAAAAAAGGGCAGAGTTTTCTCAGTGACCTCTGAACTCCACACCCAGCCCAGCTCCTCTTCACTGCCCTCTCCCTGCCCAGACTCTGAAGAAGAAACAGGCCCAGAGAGGCTGGCGCACAGGGATCTGACACCGTGGCACTAACTGAAGCCCCCAGAGGTAAAAAAAAAAAAACAACAACAACAGCAAACCAAGCAGTAAACCTCAGCCCAGCTGAAGGGAGCAGCTGGGTCACAGAGTGCCAGAGAGTGAGCTCCCCATCACTGGAGGAGTCCAAGCAGAAGCGGGAAGCGTTGGCTTCTCAGTCGGTATCTTAGAGAAAACCTGGCTCTCTCCCTCTGGAGCTGAACTGCCCTGTTTGGGGATCAGCTCCCAAACTTGGCCAGGCTGCAAAGAAAACAAGACAGTGTGTGATTAAGAGGGAGGAGGGTGGAGACAGAAGGGACAGGAGGGTTTGGCACAGAGTGGTGGCCCAAAGTGGTGTCTGTGTAGGCTGGCCTGGGGCAGAGAGCAGCAGAATCCTGGAGCTCCCAGGAAGAATCTGAAGGGAGAGGAAGCAGGACTGGGTCTAGCTGGAAATGCAAGGTTGAAGAGACATCACGGGGACCCAGACCATGCTGTAAGGGATTCCAGCTCTGCTGGCGCGGTAAATAGTGTTACCTATGGCAGAGCATCCAAAGGCATAGCCCGGGAAATGGGGTGGGGAGGGAGGAGCCAAGCCCTAGCCTCAGGTTTAATCTGGGCCGAAACTTTACATTGACCTGCCTTCAAGAGTATCTGCCAGTTTCCCCTCTGGCCTCCTGCCCCCCCCGCCCTTGTGGTCCAAGATCCACAAGCTCCTCCCTGCCTCCAGGCCTTTGATCCTGCTGTTCTCTGCCTGGTGCACCATCTCCTGTCTCTTCACATGGTTGGTGTCTACTCATCCTTCGCACCTCTGCTTCTGAGCCTCCTCATTATTTCTTCCAGATAACGTGTCACATCTGAACTCTTTATTTACTTGTCTGTCATCTATCACACCCAGGAGACTGAGCCCAAAAAGGGAGAGCAGGCATTGTGTCCCTATCATGCTCAGTCATTACCCAGTGAATGGATCCTCCCAGGGTTATTGCAGAAATGAAGTGAAATGGTGTGAAATTGCTCAGGCCTGTAGCAGACACATGTAGGTGCTCATCGAGCCAAGAGTGCAGGGAGGATTCGGGGTGGGAACAGGGAGCTACTTGGTAAGGAAATGCATTTGGAATCTTCCAACCAGGGGAAATGCCTTGGGGACCCTCCAGGCTGGGAGTAAGGAGCTGCAGGTCCCCCGTCAGCCCTGTGAGGGGCCTTGACAGTGTCTGCTGGGCGGATCACGCCCCTCCTGACCCAGCTCCTCCCTCCCAGGAGCCCAGTGATGCTGCCCAGGCTGTGAACAGGGAAGGCGGCACTGTGGGGGCTGCCGGCAGCCGAGGCAGGGGAGAGACATGTGGACACGTGGTCTCTATGGCTCCCGCCTGCCAGATCCTCCGCTGGGCCCTCGCCCTGGGGCTGGGCCTCACATTCGAGGTCACACACGCCTTCCGGTCTCAAGGTAGGGGTGGTCCAGAGCCCTCGGTGGGGAGGGAGCAAGAAGCCATGGAGGGATCAGGTGAGACTGGGACTGTGGTTGTCGGGGGAGGAGAGTGGGGAGGCCCTGGGTCAGGAAGTCCCGAGTCTTGCAGCTGGTAACCCAGTGGGGCTAGCATCACCTGCCCTACAGACAAGCAGCCAGGACTCAGGGGTCCTTCCCAGGGCCCACCCCAGGCCTCTGATCCTCACCTACAGATGAGTTCCTGTCCAGCCTGGAGAACTATGAGATCGCCTTCCCCACCCGAGTGGATGACAACGGGGCACTGCTGGCCTTCTCGCCCCCTGCCTCCCGGAGGCAGCGTCGGGGCACAGGGCCTGCAGCAGAGTCCCGTCTCTTCTACAAGGTGGCTGCACCCAGCACCCACTTCCTGCTGAACCTGACCCACAGCTCGCGCCTTCTAGCAGGACATGTCTCTGTGGAGTACTGGACACGGGAGGGCCTGGCTTGGCAGAGGGCTGCCCGGCCCCACTGCCTCTATGCTGGCCACCTGCAGGGCCAGGCTGACAGCTCTCATGTGGCCATCAGCACCTGTGGGGGCCTGGTGAGCAGAGGATTCTGGGAAGCAGGGAGGAAATGCCCATGAGTTTGGGAGTTAAGAAAAATGCTTCTAAATATAAGTCAGAGAGGAAATCACAGTGGAAATATTTAAAGCATTTTGAGCTAATCAAAAGAATTAGCTCATTTAGGGTGCAGCTAAAGCAGTGCTTAAAGGAAAATGAATAGCATTACGTCAGGCTGAAATGTAATCAGCTAAATATCATTCTCAAGAGATTATAAAAGGAATAGCAACCTAAACCCAGGAAGATAAAAGGAACAAAATAAAGAGATATGACCCCAGGGGTCCTGGGGACCAGGAACTGATCCATGCCCTCTGTCCCACTTCCCCCACCCACAGCATGGCCTGATTGTGGCAGATGAGGAAGAATACTTGATTGAGCCTCTACAAAGTGGAACCAAAAGGGGCCAGGGCCCGGAGGAGAGTGGCCCCCATGTGGTGTACAAGCGTTCCTCCCTGCGTCACCCCCACCTGGACACAGCCTGTGGAGTGAGAGGTACATCTGTCTCTGGGGACGGGCAAAGGGGCTGCACAACATCTTTACCGTAAGACAGAGGTAGGCAGCAGTGTCTCTTATCCAGAAGGTCGGCAGGCAGCTACGTGAGGGGAGGATTGGCATCAGTCAGACAGTGGAACAGTGGGGAACAGCCCATCCATCACTGCCATAGTCCAGTGGTCCAGCAGGAGACAGGCAGCTGGATAGCCATACAGGTGCTTGGGTATAAAACCATCTCCAGGATTACTGTCTGGCTAGAAAACTGTGGCTGTCTGGTGGCATTGCAGAGCTCTGGGACATTCAATAGTTGTATAACTGGAGAGGCTGGGATTAGGAAACTATGGCAGACAGACAACCACAGTCAGTTGTACAAACAGAAAGCTGGATGGTGTCACAGGCTAAGGCACAGTCAGTTGGGCCATCAAAAGCAGCTGTTTTGTTCTGTAGCCAGACAGCTGTGCAGTGTGTTGATTAGAAAGCTCCATATTTGGAAGGCCAAGAAAACACAATCACAGTTCCAGCAGTGAGTCCAGCCGCTACACACAGACATGCAGGTGGTGGATTGTCAGGAAGTTGTGTAGTCATAGTTGTGGTGCTGTGCCGGCAGCTGTTCAGCCAGCCAGTTTTCAGTAGGGTAGCCACATCGTGTAGAACCAGATATCCACTTAATGGAGCATTTCTAGAACCAGACATTGGACAACTGAAATACCCACTAGCAAAAGAACAAGATATTTGACGGCCCATTGGGCAGGTGGATCAGCATACAGGGAATTGGACCAAAAGAGCAAGCAGCGTAATGACCAGAAATTATCCATCCAGATGAGAAACCGTGGAAGGGGCGGCCATGGTGGCTGCGCACCCTGAAGCCGCCACCTGCCAGGCCCCTGGGCAATGAAACAGAGCGCAGCCAGCTGGGTCTGAAGCGCTCCGTCAGCCGAGAGCGCTACGTGGAGACCCTGGTCGTGGCTGACAAGATGATGGTGGCCTACCACGGGCGCCGAGATGTGGAACAGTACGTGCTAGCCATTATGAACATTGTAAGTGCCTTCCCCTCCCAGGGAATGAAGCCCCAAGAACCTTGAGCCAGCCTCCAGAGGTCAGGAAAAGGGTGTCACCGTCCCACCCCCAACTGCTACCTGAGGCTAGAGAAACAGAATGGAGGGGGGACAGGGTGAGAAAGGAAGACTGCAGAGCACAGTGCCTCGGAGCATGGACTCTGAAGCCAGCCAGCCTGGGCTGAAATCTCAGCTCTGCCACTTTTTAGTTGTATGTCCTTGGACAAATGACTTCACCTCTGCCTTGGTTCACTCATATGTAAAATGAGGATAATAATAGTATTCACTTCATAAGACGAAGGTGGATGCAGTGACTAGATAAAGCACTTGGTACACAGTAAGAGTTGCATAGTTGTTTGCTATATAAAAATCAGCATGCAGCTTGCAGGTACTTGTTGAGGTTACCAGTACACACACGGGCACACATCTGTATGCATGTAGAGTTCTCACTCATACACTTAACCTATGAATTCATACAGCTGACCTCGCTGATCCGCATTCAGTAGCCATATTAGATCTCAAGACTCTGGGCCCCTCTAAATCTCAGTTTTCCCCTCTGTAAAATGGGATTGTAATAGTATCTACAACAGAGCATGAGAGTTGGTGGGAGGGAAACCAGATAGAGCAGTTGGCACATAATAGGGCTTGATGAGTGGTGCTCTTGTTTCACTGAAGCAAAAAGGGAAAGAAAAAGTTCAGCAGACAGATGGCTCAATGTTCACATGACAGCGTATCTGATTCCACTACTTCTTCCTCAGTCCTGCCTCTCTCCCTTATTTCCTAACACCTGCTAGAAACTGCTAGGGTTTCTGTGGGTTTCCACTTTGGGGCATTGATATCCTAGGGCTCCAGGATCACTGATGGTGTGACCTGCATCTTTTGTGCCCTCTCACCCCTGGGCCACAACCTCCTTCCCTCTGACCACTATCTCTAGAGCTTTCTGTCCCCACACTTCCACCTTTTTGTAGTGATGCTCAAATTGGTGTCTTTAGATAGCCACGGAATGAGGCACATCCCTCAGGCCATCTCTGGGCAGAGACTCAAGGAAGCCAGGGGGTTGGCAGGGGATGGATGAAGGGCGAAAAAAAACTGACTAGCTGAGCAAGGGTGAGTCAGAAATAAATGTACTGGCAAACAACCAGTACTTTGCAGGCAGACTTACCAGACTTGAATCCCACTTATGACACCTACCAGCTGTATTTTCTAATCTCTCTGTGCATCAGTTTGCTCATCAGCAAAATGGGAATAATAGTATCTACTCATGCAAAGATATATGGACAGACTTAGCCTGAGGCTGGGCATACAGTAAGAATTTGATAAGGCGAGCTATTGTCATTGTATTTTTATTGTTTGCTACTCTGGGCCCCTCTTAAGACTCCGTTTCTCTTGTTTCTTGGAGGTCAGGTTGCCAAACTTTTCCAAGACTCGAGTCTGGGAAACATCGTTAATATCCTGGTAACACGGCTCATCCTGCTCACAGAGGACCAGGTGCGGGGGGGGCCCCACCCCTTTCCCTGCACACCAGTGCCGCCTGCCCTTTCTGGGATGGCTGGCGCCCATGCACCTCACTCTGTCCATCCTCAGCCCACTTTGGAGATCACCCACCATGCCGGGAAGTCACTGGACAGCTTCTGTAAGTGGCAGAAATCCATTGTGAACCATAGCGGCCATGGCAACGCCATTCCAGAGAACGGTGTGGCCAACCATGACACAGCAGTGCTCATCACGCGGTGAGGGTTGGGGAGGCCTCCAAGATGTGGGCCAGGGGAACGGGTAGTTTAGGGGATGGAGAGGCTGGGACTATTCAGCTGCCCCCTTGGGGAGCCAGACATGGGAGGGGCAGCTGGGAGCCTAAGAATCTGGGAAGGGAAGGCAGGTATTGGGCCATTTGAGTGCTAATGCACTCCTTCACTCATTTCTCAGTCAGTCATGTACCCCATTATCCCCAAGGCAAGCTGCAGCCAGAGCGTGAGGCTTCGGGTGAGAGGCAGGTAGCACTCCCAAGCAGAACTTAACCCCAGAAACAGGCATGGTGACATCATCGGGGCTTAGGGAGGCAGCCCAGCTTCCTCATCGCCCCCCTCTCCTTCCACAGCTATGACATCTGCATCTACAAGAACAAACCCTGCGGCACACTAGGTACCCATGCCCCTAGGTTCTGGCACCTATGAAGGCAGTGGGCTGGGTGGCCCTGGCCCTGGTGAGGGTGGGGACCTCGCAGGGTGGATGGGGCCAACCAGCCCCACCCCACGTGCCCATTTCCCAGGTCTGGCCCCTGTGGGAGGGATGTGTGAGCGCGAGAGAAGTTGCAGCATCAATGAGGATATTGGCCTGGCCACGGCGTTCACCATTGCCCATGAGATCGGACACACGTGAGGCCCGGGGACACAGGAGGTGGGAGGGGGGGGACAGAAGGGTCCAGCAGGTTCATCGGCACCCAGCAGAGCCAATACTCCTCTCCCCAGGTTTGGCATGAACCACGACGGCGTAGGGAACAGCTGCGGGGCCCGGGGCCAGGACCCAGCGAAGCTCATGGCTGCCCACATTACCATGAAGACCAACCCATTTGTGTGGTCATCCTGCAGCCGCGACTACATCACCAGCTTCCTGGAGTGAGGATGGACCTGCCTTTCCTGCCTATAGGCTCACACTCGTGTTGCGGGGCGGGGGTCCCCTGGATATCAGGGCTGCCTCTGAGAAGGGTTGTGTCGCCTGCAGGGGCTGCTCCCCGGGACCCCACCCAGCCGGACCCCCTGAGCTCTTGGCCTGCAGCCCCCCAGCATGACAGCTGCTTTCCTCTTGCCACAGCTCAGGTCTGGGGCTCTGCCTGAACAACCGGCCCCCCAGACAGGACTTCGTGTACCCAACCGTGGCGCCCGGCCAGGCCTACGATGCCGATGAGCAGTGCCGCTTCCAGCATGGAGTCAAATCGCGTCAGTGTAAATACGGGGTAGAGAGAGCCTTCCTGCTTTCCTTCCTGGGAGGGGAGGGGGTTGCAGGGGTGGGTGACTCTACATGGGCACCCCCACGCCAGGCAGTGGGTTTGGGAGAGCCAGGAAGAGGAGTGAGCCCCATGGGGCCCAGGGGCACAGAGGGGCCTTGGGTTGTACAAATGTCACAACCAGACAAGATTGGGGACAAGAGTGGGATCTCCTGGCTCTCCAGACCCCTGACTGGGAACTGGGCTGGGGAGACTGGGAGGCCACCCTCTGTGCAGCATATCGGGCTGCGGCAGGACTAGAGTCCCAGGAGCACTAACTGGCCATTTTTACCCAAACATTCAGACATGGTGGAAATCGCTTCCCTGGGGAAGAACCATTTTCCCCACTTGGCAAAGAACTGAACAGAGCCTTCCAGAGACACCCTGTCTGCACTCCCCACATCCCCTACCAACCGGTACACCGATCTGCTGGCCCCAGTCCTTGGCTGGACGAGCTCTGAACCTCATTACTACTCCCCAACTCTTTCCTGAAATTTAGACTCAGCTCCCAAAGCCCCAGCTATACATAAAGAAGCCAGCTAGGGTCCTTCTCCCAGCTTCCCCCGGGGAGCTGGAGCCTGCTGGCCTCCTGCTTCAGCCACCAGGGCCACCAGCTCAGCTGGAGTCTGCCCCTCTACTGCCCACCTCCCCTAATTCCCAAAACACGCTCCCCGCCTCCTCACAGCCTCGGCCCTAGTAGCTTGACCCAGTCCCAATACTTCACACCCTCCAAACTCAGAAGGTCAGAGTTTGCAAGGCCATGTCCAAGCTAAGGCCATGTTAACCCAAAACAGGGAGTAGGCAGCTGTTAAAATGCCCTCACTTCATTTCAGTGCTAGACAAGGAGGTAAACCCTGGATCAATTTATATGTAATTGACATTCCTCTCTTGCCCCCACACCCTAACTTGTCTGGTGACTATAGCACCCTCTAATGAGTTCCAGTAGAATTCTGAAGCTCCCTTGAGCATCTGCTGTGCCCCAGGTACCCTAACAATGATCACGGTTGGCATTTACTGAGCATTCACTATATGCTAAGTATGTGATATGCATCATCTCATTTAAGCTCCTCATGGTCCTATTGTCCCCACATTACAGAGGAAGACACTGAGGCATGGGGAGAGTGCCTTTCCCAGAGTTGGTATTTAAATCCAGGTCTCTAGGACCAAATTTTTTAGAGGTGGGGGAGGGGAGGAAGTGCCAGACAGCAAACATGGATCAGTGCGAGCTGTAGGTTAAATTGATTCTCCCTTTTATTTTTCCAAAGAATGTGTTCCTTGCCCTCCTGGCGGAGGGGAGTCGTTGACTACATGTAAATTGGTTACTATGTCTAAGGAGCTGGGCTTGCCTAGTGTCTGGTCCAGAGTTAGCTGTGGTCATTGTTACTCGGTAGCAGGGCATCTGTGCAAGCCCTTTCATATCTACTCTGTCTCATGCCTCTCAACCTTTTCTGTAGGCAAGGCCCATCTTGTAGATGAGGAAACTGTAGCCCAGAGGGAGCAAATGTGTTGCAGATGGCGGGGTGGAAGCATCCATATATTCCACAGTGTGTCCTTGTGAGGAGGAGGGAAAGCCGGGCTGGGATAGGCACTCTCTCCAGGAGGCGTCAGAGCACGTGATATTTTTACAAATGGCCAGGATGCAAGCCATGTGAAGCCAGAAGACCAGGTTGAGTTTTTAGCTGAGAAGTATCCTCTGAAGGGGCAGAAGGCAGGGACCCTGGAGGGCGTTTGAGGGAGGTCTCAGGACAACCCTCCAAATTTTTCATGTATGTACAGGTCTCTCACGGAAGCTGACCCAGAAAAGGTCCCTTCCTGTGGCCACTGAGTGGTCCAGTACCACACCTTTGAAGCTTGGAAGGATCCCTTTCTCAGGAGATTACATGTGATTACAGACAGGAGACTGGAGGGTCTCCACGTCACAGGGGCAAGATCCTGGGGCCTGGGGCAGGATGTGAGTGAGAGAGTCTACCTACGATTTGGCCACACCTGAACCCAATTGGGCTTGTCCGGTGATATTAACCTGGACCTAAAGGATTGGAGTGACTTCCTGGGACTGGTATAGGACTTGCTGCTTGGTCCTGGCCCAGCCCAAGCAGGATTCCGAGGAAAGTCCCACACAGATCCAGCCTGGCCTTGTCCTCTCCCAACCCTTCATAGATTAAAATCTCTGAGAACGTCCCCAGTTTAAGTGAAGGGAACAAGGAGAACCACCCACTGGAGAGAAGTGAGAGACGGGGCCCCTGACTTGAGCCACCTCCAGGCCTGATCTTTCTGAACTACTGCTCCTCCGTGGGCTGCTTTGCCCATCCCAGAAAGGAATCCAGAATCCTTCCTCTACATTCCTCAGCAACCCTATGTTTCCTTCTAGAAACTCTGGAGATGCCAGGGACTGAACTGATAAGGGTTACATCATAGACCCTTCAGTCAAAGGTCTGGGTTGATAACCAGGCTGCCCTTTAGTAGCTGTGTAACCTTCAGCAAGTGACCTGACCTGGCCTTGATTTCCTCGCAGTGGAATTGGGAGAATGATGCCTACGGGAATGTATGCCACACATAGGTGTTCAATAAGTGCAGTGTGTATGTAGGCAGAGAGGAGGGCCCAGGCCATACCCTGCCACAGTATCCAAGTAGATGCCTTGAGACCCAGGGCCCCACTGCCCAGCCGGCAGTGAGCCTGGGTCCTCCTGCGGGAGGAGGGCGAGCTTGAGCGGGCATCTCGGCCGCAGGAGGTCTGCAGCGAGCTGTGGTGTCTGAGCAAGAGCAACCGGTGCATCACCAACAGCATCCCGGCCGCAGAGGGCACGCTGTGCCAGACACACACCATCGACAAGGGGGTGAGCGCAGGCCGAGGCCCGCCCCCTGTCCGTGGGCCGCCCCATCCCAAGCCTTGCCTCCAGGGTCACGTGGTCTCTGGCCACGCCTGCTTCCTGCCGGTCCCGCCCCTAACCTGAGTCCACACCCCCACACCGTCTCCAGCCCCGCCCGCACCATTGTCCCAGTGCTAGCTTCACGCCCCTTGAACATTGCGTCGGGCTCCCTGGCCACACCCTTATGCCATCTGTTTGCACCCTGGTCCTCGAGCCCCACCTCTGTCCCACTTCAGCCCCATTCCAGGGGAGCTGAGGCCTCTGGCTGGGTGGGAGGGGAGCACCAATCCCCTGAGGGTTTCTGAGCTGGACTCACCCCTCCCACAGTGGTGCTACAAGCGGGTGTGCGTCCCCTTCGGGTCACGACCTGAGGGCGTGGATGGGGCTTGGGGCCCGTGGACCCCGTGGGGAGACTGCAGCCGGACTTGCGGGGGTGGCGTGTCCTCCTCCAGCCGTCACTGCGACAGCCCCAGGTCAGTCCTCAGGACCCCCTACGAGGAAATGGAGGGGGCCGTCCCTGCTTCCCCTGCCCCATCCTCTCCTGCTCTCCCACCCTTTCCAGGCCAACCATCGGGGGCAAGTACTGCCTGGGCGAGAGACGGCGGCATCGCTCTTGCAACACTGATGTGAGTTCCCCCAGCCCCGTTCCTCAGAGGAAAAAAGTCATAAATCAACTTCCAAGGAGCCGCTGCAGGCCTTCTGCCTTCCCTGCCCCTCGACACATGCCCCGTCCCTCCCAGACCCAGTTACCCCCTGGCGCCTCCGGGGGGATCTGGCTCCTTCCGATTCTTTTTTTTTTAAATATATTTTTATTGATTTCAGAGAGGAAGGGAGAGAGAAATAGAAACATCAATGATGAGAGAGAATCATTGATTGGCTCCCTCCTGCCCTTGACCGGAATCAAGCCGGGGACCATTCAGTCCACAGGCTGAAGCACTATCCACTGCGCCAAGCCAGCTAGGGCTCTTTTATATATAAGAGAGAGAAAGAGAAACATCAATGATGAGAGAGAATCGTTGATCGGCTGCCTCCTGCACACCCCTACTGGACATCCAGCTGGCAACCCCGGCATGTGCCCTGACCAGGAATCCAACCTCAACCTCCTGGTTATAGGTCAATGCTCAACCACTGAGTCACACCGGCCGGGCTCCTTCCAATTCTTGCAGGGATGAGCCTTCCACACCCACTCCCTGCATGGTCCAGTCTCCCCAGCGCCCTGCCCCAGAGCTGTCTCTGGATTCTCTGGCACCAGCCCAGTAGCCCTCTTCTGACCAGGGCTGTGCCCCCTGCCTAAAACTCCGCCTCGCCTGCATCACCAAGCCCTGCGCTCCCAGCCCCTCCTAGGCTGCACTCCTTTTCTCCGCTTCTCTGCTGCCCCTTTTTAATGCTGGGATCCCCCTGACTCGTCCTGGAGTAAACACATCTCCTGTGCACACACCCAATAAACACAAGACAGCGTGGAGTGCTAGGAGGGTGGAGAGCTACTGATGAGGGGTAGGCTCCTGTCTCTGAGGGGTCCACATGCCCCTCACACTCACAAAGAGGTGGGCACCTTCCCCAATTTGCCTTGCTCCTTTATAGGTCTGCTCTCTCAAGAAAGGCCCCAGGTCTGAAACTAGAAACCTAGGCATCATCCCCAGCTTGCATCTGACATCTAATGAGTCACCTAGTCCCTTTCAAATGCACCTGTCCCTCCAGCCCCACTGCCTGGACCTAGCCCTAGCTACCATCCAACCCTTCACAGCCTCCTCCCTGGCCTCCCGACCTCCCTGCCTCCAGCCTCACTCCTCCAACTCATCTCTGCTCTGAGCATTAGTTCTTCGCCCTAGGCCTCTGCCCTAACTCCATCCCTGGACACCTGGCCTCCCTCCCTCTCCCATCTCGTGCCCCCAGGACTGTCCCCCTGGCTCCCAGGACTTTAGAGAAATGCAGTGCTCTGAATTTGACAGCGTCCCCTTCCGTGGAAAATTCTACACGTGGAAAACATACCGAGGAGGTGAGTCGGGGGCTGAGGAAGCCGTGCGAGCATCCAACAGCAGGTGGATACAGCATCTTGGGGTCTGCCCTGAGCCCTCCCCTCACTCAAGGAGCCAGAATGCCAGACTGAATGCTGGGAACCCCCATTCCATCTACCTAGCCTGCCTAGTCTTCATGGATCTGGGGTCTGTCCCTCTTGGCCTCACCTCCCCCAGGGAGCAAGCAGGGAGCCCCAGGGCCTCCTGGTCCTTGGTCTGATGGGACCATGCCCCCCAGGGGGCGTGAAGGCCTGCTCGCTCACCTGCCTAGCAGAAGGTTTCAACTTCTACACGGAGAGGGCAGCAGCCGTGGTGGACGGGACACCTTGCCGCCCAGACACGGTGGACATTTGTGTCAGCGGCGAGTGCAAGGTGGAAGGGACTTCCAGAGAGAGGGAAGGGATGGGGACGGAGGAATGGGCACCTCGCTGACACCCCCACCACCGCTGCCCTCCCCAGCACGTGGGCTGCGACCGGGTCCTGGGCTCCGACCTGCGGGAGGACAAGTGCCGAGTGTGTGGGGGTGATGGCAGTGCCTGCGAAACCATTGAGGGGGTCTTCAGCCCGGCCTTGCCTGGGGCTGGTAAGATACCCCTACTTCCTTGACACACTCCCTCCTGGGCTAGGGGCGTGGCTGGCCCCACCACACTAGTCAAGATTAGCAAATTCTCAGACCCAGGGACCCAGTGGAGTGTTGAGACCCCAAGAAGTCTTGAGGACCCAGCAATGCCCCAGATCAGGGTCAGGGACTGGCTTGGGCTCTGGAGCCAAAATCTTGGCAATTAAAATATCCAAGGGGGTGGGGACCTAAATCTCTCCCCTGCCCCATCCAGGGGGCCTCCTGCCCAAGTGTGGTTCAGGAGCTAGTGCAGAGGTCGGGCAGTTAAACCAGGACTTGGGACACATGTGGGCAGAGACAGGGGTCCTTAGGGCCCATAAGCCTTGCAACCCCTACTCTGAGTGCTAAGACCACCATGTCAACTGTGTGGGTTGGGGCCTCCACAGTGGCCTCTTCTCTACCCAGGCCTATACCTGCTGTTTATTGGGGTGGAGGGCGGGGCAGATCCGGCCATGTTGGTGGTTAGAAAGGCAGGTTCAAATCCCAGCCCAGCTACCTCCTGTCAAACCTGGGCAAGTAGCTTTGCTTTTGTTTTTTTTGTGTGTGTGTGTTTTTTAGCTTTGCTTCTTTGAGCCTCAGTTTTGTTACATGTAAAATGGGCATGATGACACATCTACTGCTTAGGGCTGGAGCTGGGAGTGCAGTGTGATGTCCCTGGAAGCACTTAGCACAGTAATGGCTAGCTGCTGTCATCCAGGGCTGAAGGCAGGCAGGTGTGGGGGGCGGACCGAGTAGGTAACACCTAGCTTCCCTGTCCAGGGTACGAGGAAGTCGTCTGGATCCCCAAAGGCTCCATCCACATTTTCATCCAGGACCTGAACCTCTCCCTCAGTCACTTGGGTGAGATGGAGGTGAGGGGATGAGGACTGTGGGTAAACTTGGCTGGAATTCTGACTCCTACACTATCCCCCAGCCCTGAAGGGGGACCAGGAGTCCCTGCTGCTGGAGGGGATGCCCAGGACCCCTCAGCCCCACCGCCTGTCCCTGGCTGGGACCACCTTTCAGCTGCGACCTGGGCCAAATCAGACACAGAGTCTAGAAGCCCTGGGACCCATCAATGCTTCTCTCATCATCATGGTAATGGTGGGGCAAGGTGCAGGAGGACATGGCACCCTTGTGGGGACTCCAAGCTTGACTTCCTTCTGATGCACCCTCCACCCCAGGTGCTGGCCAGGACGGAGCTGCCTGCCCTTCGCTACCGATTCAATGCCCCCATCATCCGTGATGCACTGCCCCCCTACTCCTGGCACTACTCACCTTGGACCAAGTGCTCTGCCCAATGTGCCGGTGGTGAGGGCAGGGGTGGGGCCCGGGGGGCACTAGTCACCTGACCCTCTGGATGGGGCAGGGCTGAGCGGGCCTCTCACCTGCCCCCAGGCAGCCAGGTGCAGGCCGTGGAATGCCGCAACCAGCTGGACAGCTCAGCCGTGGCCCCCCACCACTGCAGCGCCCAGAGCAAGCTTCCCAAGAGGCAGCGGGCCTGCAACACCGAGCCCTGCCCACCCGAGTGAGTACCTGCGGGTGACAGTGCTGCTGAGATCAGAGAAGCACGTGGTCCCGGGATTGGGGTGACTGCTCTCCTGGGGTCGGAGTGGGTGCTCCCCAGCCAAGTGCCTTTCTCTCGGGTGCTGTGCCGCCCTGCCACAGGTGGGCGCTTGGGCTGCTGTTTCCAGAAGGAGGCTGGTTGCTGGGGAGGAGGCTGAGCCGGTGCGGGGGCAGGTGCCGGGCCTGCACTGTCAGCCCTCTGTCCCCACAGCTGGGTTGTGGGGAACTGGTCGCGCTGCAGCCGCAGCTGTGACGCCGGCGTGCGCAGC